TCTGAGGATATAATTAAGATTAAGTGATTATTAACTAAGAACAATAACAAGGGAATAGTGCCAGACAGTTATCTAGCTCGTTTTTCTTTTTCTTGAGACTGCTAGGCCGTCAAATTGTGACGTCAAGCTAGAAAAGAAAACAAAAGGAAGAAGGTGTTGTATTCTGCACATGTGTCATAGGACTATTAAGCAATCCATGCATACAAAGCTCTAATTATCAAAATAGTATGTCAATTACTAGTTGCATCAACTAAATGGGACAAATCCTTTAATAGTCCTCGAAGCACATGTTACCTGATTATATCCTCAAGACCTCAAAGCACATGTTTCATTTGCCACTTTGCCAGTGATCATTACTCCTGGCAAGGAATCGATATTTTACAGGTTCATGACCTGCACGAAACCGAAAATGAACATCTCAAGTCACAAACTGTTAAAGCATACCCACCCACTCTTCCAACGGATATCATATCAAATCAAACTCTCTTTGTGTATATGCAGTACTAATTCGAGAAGCCGGGAAAGCTTCATGGCTACATGCCTGGCATGGCAACCCTATCTTCACTGTATGTATACGAGGATGTGCAAGCTAACAGCTACTGACGCTAGATTTATAGCAAAATTGGAGCAGCCAACAGGATTTCTGAGCATCACTCGTTAATTGGTTACAGAGAGACGACCGACCTTCCAGTCCTTCTCAACGAGGCATGCATCGATGCAGCATCTGATCCTCCCTATTCAGACACTGGAAAAACAAAATCTAATATCTGCAGCAGGACACGTTTGAACAAATTCAGATGAGACACACTGATGATCTATATATATTCTTCGCGGCACGGGCGCGAAACAATACAACACCCGCATCGGGGAGAAAAAGGGAAGAAGAAGAAGCCTATCCTGTCCACCAAAACAACCTCTAGCGATACCGCAGTAGCGTGTAGCGAGCAGAGCGCGGCGGGACAGCGCGTCTACCTCGGCCGGGCGACGGGCGCCTCGCCGCCTCCCCCTCCTCGACGAGACCCATTTGGACCGCGAGGCTCGCACCGGAGAGGAGGCACGTGCGCACGGCCTCGCAGGCGACGGCGGTGTCGGTTCGGACTTGGGAATCGGGGCCCCGGGGCGAGGGGAGGGTGGCCGCAAATTGCAGAGAAGTTGCGGGCGGGGGCGAGCGAGGACGTCAGGAGTCAGGACGACGACGATAGGAGGGCCGAGTGCGCACGCAGGCGACGTATCCGCGCCACGTTAGAAAAACTGGGCTGGGCGCTTTAGGGTTGGGCTTCCTACCTGACGGCCCGTCCAATGAGAAGAGAGAAAGTGCGTAGACTGGGCCGGCCCATGGTCTGGCAGTTCTTCGAAGGCCCATGTGTAACACTTGCATTTTGCCGTGCATTAACAACGATCGCATTGCACAAATCATTTTATCTTTTTTTTTCGCTTTTCTTTCCGTGATTTGAAACGTTTTAGCGGTACTATAAAAATATACTCTGTTATTAATTTAGTAGTAATATTCATTTGATGACATAACTATTAGTATTCTTTTTCACCTGTATGATCAAACTAAAAACAAGAATCATACTCTTTCTATTTTTGGGATAGATGGAGTATCCGTGCCTTAGTAGTCATGTTCTTAAAGGGAACGGGAATGGAAACGGAAACTCAGGTGATACTTTATAATGTGAAAATGTAACTGTTTTCAAGTCGGGAACATGAATATTTTCGATGGCCATGCCCCACGTTTCCGGCTGATAAGATCGGGTCTTTGAGAGAAAAAGGAAGCCCTGTAATGAAAGGAGGAGCCGATCGTGTTTGGCATTCGGCAAGGAAAAGTGTCTCACCGGCACGTGGTGTGCGGCACGGCTAGGCGTTGATGGAGGCGTTGTTCGGCATGGACCATTCATTCCAAAGCGGCTTCCTGCTTCGGACAGACAGGCACCATTCTGTCGGTGGGTCACGTGGTTAGGTGCGCGCGCAATGCAGCAATCAGCAATCAGCAAGAATAATCCTCGCGCCAGCAGACCAGATAATCGACATGGCGCGTGCAAGCGGGGTCACGGTCATCAGCTGCCGCCGCGCGCTCCAATCCAGTCCACGATCAACCACCGCGCGCTCTTTACCGTTGCAACGGCCGGCGTTGGACGGCCGGATCGATAGCGACTGCTGCATGCATTTTTACTTGGTCGCCCCTGACGGATTTGGTATTTTCTCTTACTAGCTATGGATGCTCCAAGAGGAAACGTACGGGTTGGGTGGCGTGCCTGGCCAGTAGGGATGAAAACAATATATTTTCCGATCTTATTTGCCGTTTAGAGGAGTTGAGATCTGTCTGTATCTGAGTCCGGATATTCAACATCCGATACCGTATCTGTATTAGAATACTCAAATCGTATATTTATGATGTCGATACCAATCATATTCTATTCAGTATAGTGGACACTATCCGTATTTGAATTCGAATCTAGACAGAAATATAAAAACGAAAGTAATATCCGTATCCGTCATCTCTACTGGCTATACACGTCTGAGGAGCGAGTCCGTTGGACTTGACGACGACGACTGCGCCAAGCTGGCCGCCCCGATGGAAAGCGCGTCCTCTTCCTTCCTTCAGCGTTAAGAAAGAGTCGACTCGGGCCAGCGAGGGATGCGTGCATCCAAACAAGGAAACGACGACGTGACGTGCGTGCCCAACCGTCCGGCCGATCGATGTGGAGAAGTCCAGCAAGCGTGCTCCCAGACGGCAAGTCATCACAGTCGTGTCTCATCTCCTTTTCTAGACGGTCTAGTCGCTATACGTGCCCTGCTGCCGTTTGCATCTTTCACTAGCTCGTGTGTTCGTTGACACCTGGGGTTTATGCTCCCCCACTTGGGGTCTTCCATTGGGGAGCTATGTTCACAAGTCAGCACGGGCAGTGCCCACACCCACCCTCTCGCTCTCTACAGAACAAACACTCGGTGTATCTAATGTATCGTCTAATCATCATCACACAAACAAAAAACGACTACCTCTTTTCTAAAATTATATAAGTTGTTCTATTTTTTTCTAAGCATATATTGTTTACTATGCATCTAGATATACTTATGCCTAGATATTAGCCTACAGAAGGTAGCAGTGATCTGACACACATCTTGAAATACTAGATGTATCGATGTTTCTTTTTTTAGAGGAGGTGTATCGATGTTGGGAATGTTTCAAGTGCTAAAATTCTCTTCTTTTGGCGTCTACTTATAACTTTTTTCCCTCCTAGTTAGGCACCACTCTGCTAATTAAGTTTCACGCTCCACCATTGGAAGACTCTAATGCTCAAGCTAAGGTCGCTTGTGAGCTACAGTGACTCCTTGTCAAAGATCTTCTTCCATTTACCACCGGGTGCGACAGCTAAATCCTTTTGATGACACATGCTCTTTGTTGAAATGGTACCCATGTGTTTTGTGTTTTAGGTCCTAGTTGGGGCTGCTATACCAAGTTACATGAACTTACCTGAAACTAACAAAGGTTTTGATAAAAAAAATAGCAAGGTTTACTCTCATGCCACCTTGTCATTGCGTGTTGTTTTTTTCTTCGTTTCAGTTAGCAAACCGTAGCGTAAAAGGCTCCCGACTGTATTGCTCTTCATTTTCCTACCTGTAGGCGCCAAAAGGCTCCCCGGTGCAACGGTTCATGAGTCACATGAACATTCCATACCTCTTAGGTTTGATTAATTGCACCACATTAACGACGAAACGAAGGATGTTTTTGCTATGTTCTCGTTGTGGATAACAAATGTCGTAGCCAAATAAACCTAGGGAAACACTATAGTCATGTGATTGAGAACAAAAACATCATCATCTTGTCCGCCTCTTGTATTTTATGACATTCCTCTTGTCGGAACCACCATTTGTCGTTACTCCTTTATTACTAGTTCGATTATCTTCACTTGCCCCATTTACTAAGACACTCCTATCACTCCCACGCTTGCGTGTCACCACTAGGTTGATCTATGCATCTCACGGTCTTTCACTAAGCCACTACCCACTAGCCATAGAATCCTTCGTAGAAGTTGTTTTTATAGTAATAGAAAAATATGAATAATCGGTTTGTATCATTTTGCCTTAAAAACAAATGGACATATTCGATAAAAAACACAAAGTACTTGTACTCTCGAAAAAGAAAAACTACTTGGATTAGTTAAGTTTGTTTAGTTGCTGTAGACTTGTGTCAGTAGCAATGAACTCTCTACAAGAGCACCACCACCTCCTCCAATATTACACATCACGGCTAATAATCGAAACTGCAGCCCCTAACCGCAAAAATCCCAGAAACCAAGCCTCAGCTAAACCTCCCAACTCCCAAGCCCCGAATAAGGCCTGTTTGTTTCTCTCGGACAAAAGTTTAGCATTGTCACATCGAATGTTTTGACACATGCATGGAATATTAAATATAAATTAATTATAAAACTAAATGCACATATTGAGACTAATTTGAGAGACGAATTTTTTAAACCTAATTAGTCCATGATTTTAACAATACGGTGCTACAGTAAACATGTGCTAATGATGGATTAATTGGGCTTAATAAATCTGTCTCGCGGATTACTGAGGACTTCTGTAATTTATTTTTTTATTACTATCCGAACATTTGATGTGACACCCTCATGTACACACCCGATGTGACATCCCTAAGCTTTAGCTCCTGGATTTTAACACCCCCTAATCTCAAAGCTAAGGCACCAAATCCAAATAAAACTCACTAACGAAGGATTAATCTGCAAAATCACAGGCGGTTACTCTTTTGCTAAATACACCCTCCCTCCGCCCACTTTCTCCCAGCCGACCCCCACCCACTGCCTATTCTATTCCCCTCCCTCCCCATCTCCGCCGTCCTCGCCTTCTCCAATACACTAGGCGACACCGCACGCGCGCGCCTCCTCCCTCGGCGGCGACCCCCGCGGCGTCGCCCTAGGGTTAGGGTTCCGGCGACTTCCCTCCCTTCCGCGTCGCGGCGAACGCGTGGGAGATCCGCCCCCATGTCGTCCGACCCCTCGCCCCACCTCCCGTCGCCGGTGGCCCCGCCGGGCGCGGCGGAGGCGGATCCCCAGCCCCTGCCCCTGCCCCTGCCCCAGCCCGCTGAGCCGCCCGAGGTGATGCACCGGACGAGGGCCGTCGACTTCCTCGGGCGACGCACGCCCATCGTCTACCAGAACGACAACGGGCCCTGCCCCCTCCTCGCCATCTGTGAGCTCCCTCCCCACCCTCCCGTTCGACTCCGAACCCTCGCGAGTTCGCCGCGTGTCTAGTGGCTGCCCGCGATGTTCATGCCACCGGTGCGCGTTTGTGCAGGTAACGTGCTTCTGCTGAAGAATGTGATCAGCCTGAACCCTGACGAGGGCGAGGTGTCGCAGCAGAGGTTGCTCTCGCTCGTGGCCGAGCGCCTCATCGACCCCAACATCGCCGTACAGGTTCGGCTCTAACTCTCGAGAGATCGGGTTGTTCGTGTTCGGGGTCGATCAATGCGGGAATGGTGTTGTGTTGGGATGCAGCAGCAGCAACTTGCGGGCTGGAATCTAGTAGTTAGGGTTGCTGGTTCTGGAATTTCTTGGTGTGTTAATGTTTTCGAGTTGCAATTCATAGGACAAGGACGAGGAGTATGTTCGCAACAGGGAGCAGAACGTCGCAGATGCCATTGATCTTCTCCCGCGCCTCGCAACAGGCATTGATGTGAACGTGATGTTCAGGAAGTGCGTAAGGGTTTTTGGCTTGTTGACCAGTTGTTTGTCACGTGTGCCTGTGATGATATGTTTATTTTGATGCTTACTGGGGTGTGTACATTGCAGGATTGATGACTTTGAGTTCACCCGAGAACGTGCTATATTTGATCTTCTGGATATCCCGCTATACCATGGATGGATTGTGGACCCTCAGGTGTGCTATCTTTCCACTTAGCAAAAATGCTATAGGCCTGTGTTATCTTGTGATGTTGCTGATGTCAGTTAGAGTTGTGCATGTCATTTTGTTCCTAAGTTTTGCACTAACTTTATCACTCTAATCCGCCAAAGGGCCTCTAGTCCAACTGGTTAGAGCGTCCCGGCGGCACTCCTCAGGTCCTGGGTTCGACTCCCCGTGCGAGCAAATTTCAGGCTGGGGTTAAAAAAATCCCCTCGTCTGTCCCACGCCAAAGCACAGGTCTAAGGACCGGCCCGTTCTCACAGGGCGACGGTGCCGCTGTGTAAGGGTGGGGCAGGGGTTTGGGGGTTTTCTGGGCCTGCGTGAGAAGGTCTTCTTCTTAATGCAATGCCTGGGGGTGGTCATACCCTCGTAGGTCCAGTTTTTTTTTATCACTCTAATCTATCGCCTAAACCATGCGACATAGTTATGTGATAGTTTTTTTTTGTATTTTAATTGATACAACTGATTCTTTTAGTCCTAGTAGAAAGCCCCTTTGTTTCCATAATTGGGTTATGCCATTGGCTTGGTAGGTCTTTGTGTGTGTGCACGTGCACGCTTAGGCACACACGCTTTTCCAGAACTTGGTATGTTTACTATCTTATTATGCAAAGCGATCGTTAGTCTAGGATTCATACCCTAGTCTCTGACTACCTGCCTCTGTGTTGATGATTCACTTCTGGTTCGATATTTATGTCTGCCTAAAATTGTATAGTCTACATAATGATCTCTTTTAAGATACTCACGTGCGCAGACCTAGATTATCCATTTTCTGAAAGGATTAGTGCAATTAAAAACGTAGTTTCCAATTAATCGGTTGCAGCTGGTGCCCTCACGTGGTTGCACTAGGAAAGACTTAAAAGGAAAGTTAATTACTGACCGACTTTATCTACATACAGAAGTTGTCCCCTTATATGGGTATTAGGAAACCAATAAAATTCGCAACTGGTTGGTTGTGTCCATCAGTTAGGAAACCGTCAAAATTCGAAACGTGTCCATCAATTTAACAGGCAAGCTTTCTGTTTTTGATTGGAAATGGGATTATCCTCTGTTCGAAAAAAATAACGTGCAAGGTCCACCGCATTATCTTGACAAAATATCTGCGAATTCGACACGGGTTGAATTTAATTTTGTCTAGTACTGCCAGTTAGACTTGTCCCTTGTCACTTCTGCCACATTTTATGTTACATATGACCCAAAAAAAAGTTTTGTTCCTCAACACTCACCTGCAACATTTATCTTGCATTCTCGCAACCCACCTGTATGACACGTTGGATCCATTCTCTGTGTTAGCTCAGCAATTATTCACTGCAAACAGTAGACACGGACAAATGGTGATGCGAACAAAAGAACATACACGTTGGATCTGTTTGTAGGTTACTCTATGTATGGGCCTGCCCATTTCACGTTCCTCTCGTTATTTGATTCTGGTCGGTAAACTTGTATTTCTGATCGAAATGGTGGTGTTCCTCGCTTTGGAAAAAAAATTAATATGTACATGTTACAGATACATTACTTTCTATTACGCTAAGCTTTCAAATAGAAAATCACTAAGATGCATTTAATAGTTATGGATGACCTGTTGCCGGTAATAGGTCATCTCCTTTATCCTTAGCCATTTGATTAAATAGAATGGACGGTCCTTACTAATTTGGTAGTACCCTGTAATTTTCCCAATATAATAGATAAAAAACAGTTCATTTTGCAACTTGCAAGCCACCTGCTTACCATTGCTGATTCATATTGTCTTTATTTAGGATACTGAAACTGCTACTGCTATTGGATCGAAGTCCTACAATGCTCTTGCCTCCGGACTTGCTGAATTCAAGTCAGGTAAACCAACAGAAGAAAATAAACATGTGGAGGAAGAAACTGTTGATTTTGCTGCCGCAACAACTGCAACTTTAAAGATTCCGTCTCCCAGTGTTTCTCGTGGGAGATCATTTGATGAACTTACTCTCTCAAACTCAACTGAACCACATAAAAGGCGAGGTGACCTTGAGGAAGAAGAGGAACTGATGAGGGTCCTCAATCTATCCAAAGCTGAAAGTGGGGATGCAGTTGATGGAGAAGTTTCTTTGGACACTTCACATAGTCATTCATCGTCCAACATGGAGACACCACAAAGTGAGAGTTTTCAGTCAGAAGCACCTGAGGTGGTGGGGGCTGCAAAAAAAGAGGAACATGGCGATCACGCTGTGAGTGATGATGGCTCCATGCTCACAAATGGTGCTGTTAATGGCAGTGAAGTTGTGCTTGAAGAATCCCAAGAAACTTTGACATCTAAAGAACCAGAGGACAGTGGAATAAAGAATATGTTACCAGGGGACCTTGATATACCCATTCAATCTTCAGAATCTACTCCCTCTTGTCCGTCTCATGAATCCTTTGCTACCAGTGATCACCAACCTGCTGTTCCTACTCTTGTTGAAGGTGATAAAGAAACCTGCAGAGAACAGTTTGATGTACAAATTCATGGCCAGTCTAATGATACTGAGGCTGCTTGTGACTCGTTAGTTGCAACTTGTGGAGCTGTTCCAGGTCATGCTACAACAGAACTGGATGTGAAAAGTGATTTTTTAGATAAATCTGAGCCTCTACCTTCAAGCATTCAGGAATGTGAACCAATATACCAAGGTGAAGAGCATGTACTTGGCACCACAAATATGGTGTATGAAAATCAAGAGCCAGTGTATGAGGGGGAGGTGGTTCTTGCTGAGCAGGCTGACAAGACTGGGGAAAGCAGCCCTTCCGTGGGTGACAAGGCCACAGAACATCAATGTGAGATTTTTTTTTTGTTATTGACTTTTGTACATGCGTGAATCTCGTTGTACAATGCAAGAATTACTATATTTGGCTTCACACTTAAATTGATTTATTTTCAGGGGAGCTGATTGATAATTTTCTGCAGACCACTGCTAACCAGCTGACTGTCTATGGGTATATTTCTAATAATCTATGGTTTAAATACATGTTCTCAATTGTATTCTCATTTATCACATTCAAATTTCATTGTCGCAGTCTCTTCTGTTTACAAGAGGGACTTAACGAAAGTGAGCTTTGTGTCTTCTTCCGTAATAACCACTTCAACACTATGTTCAAGGTATACTAGTTTTGTCAGTATTTTAGTACTTGAACTGGAGCTGTCTTTATTTCTTATGTATATTTATTCTGCAGTACAACGGAAGTCTATATCTCCTAGCAACTGATCAAGGTTTTATAAGCCAAACTGATTTGGTATGGCAAAGGTTGGATGAGGTATGTTAACTCCTGTGATTATTTTAATTCTCGCTTGAGATCAAAATCTTTACTGATCTTTTTCATTCTCAACTGACAATCATTAGGTGAATGGAGATGGGGTTTTTCTTACCAGCAACTTCACACCCTTTAAGGCTGAAACTCCAAGAAATGATTCATGGAATGAACAGCAAGCTATGACGAGTACTGCTGTATGTATAACATAAATAAACTGCTGTAGTTTTTATTAGGTACATTAATGTTAACTAGTTCAAATTTATCTTTGTTCACAGGATTACCTTGCTCAATTTGACAACACTTCTGGAAAGTATGTTCTTCCTACCTGTTTTTCTCAATGTGCTTTATTGTTGTGTGTGTGTACAACATTCATAGTTTGGATTTCAGCAACCATGTGAATCTTGTATGAATGGTACTGTGCAGAAAATGTCTGTCAGTAGGGCTATAAATGATATGCTAGTTGAAGCTATAGTTTCTTTTCTGATCTGTTGATTGTTGCTGTTAACCAAGCGCCATAACTTTGAACTTCGACTATTTGATGGTTTTGCTGTCATTGTGTATTGGACTGTCGGCTTAGCATGTACTTGAATGACCAATATATGTCTTACTGTGATTTTGAATGTGCTCAACGTGCTGAATCATCATAGATGTGCACTCCTGAGTCACTTTGCATGTGTTGTCTAAATTCTAACGCTACCACATTGGCCCTCCTATGCTTGCAGCTCTGATCTGGAGCTAGCTATAGCACTTCAACAGCAAGAGTTTGAGCGGCAGCCACAAAGGTTTCAAGCTCCACCACCACAGCAGCAACAACAACAGCAACAACCACCTCAGACGCAGCACCAACCGACTCAATCTGGCCGACCAGGACTTGTTGTTGGTCCAAGGGTACGTTTTCTTTGTATTACTTGTACCGCCATCAAAACCTCATTTTACATTACCACATAACATTTATCAACTTGCTGTTTGGGATGATCCTTCTGTTTGGATTCAAATATGACTGCAATCTATTGTCTTGAAATAACCATGTTTGCCTGGTTTTGAATCCTTAAATAGCTACTGTATTCAAACCAGTACGTTATTTCCGAGGTCTTTAAAGATTCACTTGCGAAAGTCACCTGTTTTCCCTCAGTACACTTAATACCAACAATGAATGGTTACTTCATGCCCCTAAACAGGTAGAAGTGATGGTGTTATGTGAGAGAGCATACAAAGAGGTTGAATGCGTGGTCACTTTAGTTTGCTATAATAGACAAAAAATTATGTGTTTTGTTTGAAGCATCTCTTTAAATTGAAGGTGACAGTTTACCTAACATGTTATGCTCAGTTCTTGATCATGTTTTGAACTTGGTTGTGAGTATCGCATGGGCTCTCTTGTGCTCAGTTCTTGATCATGTTTTGAACTTGGTTGTGAGCATCGCATGGGCTCTCTTATGCTCAGTTCTTGATCATGTTTTGAGCTTGGTTGTGAGCATCGCATGGGCTCTCTTGGTCCTATTCTTGTATTGTTCACGCCATGTTTCCTGATGACTGCTTACTACTTCTGTTGCTGATGACTGATGGGTCTGAACATTGTGCTCATCCTTGCAGAGGTCCAACGTCCCACCTCCGTCGAGAAGTGAATCGAAGAAAGAGAGGTGCATCGTGATGTAAAAATACCTTCAACAGAAAAGTAGTAGAAAAAAGAGAGATAAGAGACGCATTATACTGTAAAGAAATGGTTTCTTTTGCGGAGGCAGTGTCTGCGTTTAGTCACCTTGAGCCATCCCCCATTTGAGCTTCTTTGGTTTTACTTTGTCGTCTCTGATGCATGTAAATAACCTCAGCGAATAAAGTGTAGAAACAGATGCTATCAAAGTGATGGCCCCGTGCAATGTGATTTTATTCGTCTCCCTGTGCAATCGATTGATTCCGTTCGTTCATTAATCGCAATGCAAGTATGTACATCCATTTTCATCCGTTCTGAGCTGCAAGTGACAGGCTTGGCTTGTCTTGGAACATAACGAGATTAAACTGAGTCGTTTTGGCTTTCATAGAAACATAACAAAATTAAATTGAAGTCGTTTTGGCTTTTCTAAAAAGTTATGTATCTAGACATATGTTACGTCTTAAATACACAGTTTGTATTTAGAAAAGTCAAACAGCCAAAATAACTTTGATTTGGAATGGAGGGATCAAAGAGTTGCAAAACTAACAAGAATGAAGACAGCTTAAGGTTACGAAATCTTGTTTGTCCAAAAGTGTTTTCTTACAGTTCAGATTACAGATGCTTTCTATGTGCATTCTCAGTTCCATCGACAACCTACTAGTCCAGCGCATATCTCACAACAGATCTCCGTAATGACAGTATAATAATTTGAACGAAGCAACTAATCAAAATCCACGCACTATTCTGGTCAGCCACTTGATGCAACCCAACACTATGGGTGGTTTTGTTTCAAAGTGGAGGAGCCCCGGTGGGTATCCCATTGCATAAACGGAGGGATCCCCTGCCTGCGCCTGGCACTGGCAGTTCCAGCCTTTACTCTTACACGGCATCGCCTTGCCTCAGGTGTTCAGACTATCTCGATGTACACTTCCCCATTGATCGGGGCTGCAAAGAACGCAATCAGGAACGGGAACCTCCCAAGACACGTCATGAAGTCGTCCCTGCTGATCTTGTCGTCGCCATCTATGTCGAACGTCTTGAACAGCTCCAGCATCTGTCAAAGGTTACATGGTCAGATGAGTATGACATCATGGTGGTGAAACAGCGTTACGTGTTGTAGCAGAGGGGCAATGGGGATTTTACCTTATCAGACGGCAGCAGCGTGCTTAACTGCAGGACATCAGCTAGCTGTGCCCTGGAGATCTCAGATGTTTCAGGATCCCGGCACTTCTCAAAGGCGGTCTCACAGGCACCCTGGAACAATGGTTGCTTCCTCAGGTGCGCGCACCCAACCAAGAACTGCATACATGATACACCTATAAACCTTAGCGCTAATGAAATATACAGAACCAATGCATTACAGTATTCTTGGGTGTCATATGTAAAAACTGTGAAGCACCATGGCAGATGTAAAATTCAATTGAATTAAGGTCCATACCTGACGGAACGTAATCGATTCCTTAATGCCTAAATCGAAGTAGTGAAATATCTGGGAAAAAGAGTTAGAAGTTCAGCAACGAGGGAAATCCAGTTAAGCTAATAGCATTTGTAGATACTGTGTCAGTACCTTCTTGCACAGAGGACTGCAATCCAGACCAAAATGAGCCCAAAAATCTTCAGCTTCCACACGTCCACTGCAATGTTGAAATGGCATTGTTTATCATGTATGAAACAATAGAATAACATAGATGCTTGATGGAAGTTCTCTGTTAAGGAATGAAGAGTCTTACTCGCTATCTGGATTCATAGCCAGGAAATGTTCCAATAGTTCCATTGCTTCTGCTGTGCTTACACCATAAATCTGAAAGACATAACAATACAATGCTTCATTCAACGGTTGGTTGTGATAAAGGAATTGGCACACTACATACAAGTACACTAATGCATAGCTAGCTATTCTTGTAGGGAATAATTCAGCATAATCTACTTTTTATTGCCTTATGGATTTTGACAACAGCAGCATCTGCATACTGCAAACACATGCAAACAATGTAGTTAAGGAAAAACTTACATCTTTAACCCAAGCCATTTCTACCATGTAATTTGAGCAGTTCACCTGCAAATAGAAAACTCAGCTTATTAGAGGCATATTTCCTTATAGAGGGATAGCAGATGTTCTAGCAAAAAAGGTCAGAGCAATTGTTCGGGAATTCATAGTTATGCATAGCTAGCCTTTTTACCTTTCCAGCTTCTACTGCTCGTGCCATAATCATAGAATCACCATATGAATAGGAAGTCGGCAAGACATTGAGGGCGTGAGCCATAGCATATCTGGTCTGCAAGAATAAAAAGTTGTAGGGAGAACATATTATCACACATTATCACACCTCTAGTGAAAAGCACAGGATGTTAGATGAGAAATTTATTTGAGTTGAACATACTTACATCCTCAGCAAAGTGAAGGGCATTCTCTTGCTTGATCTCAGGAGGGTAGACAACAGGGAGGTACTCTACCTGTATATTATTAGATGATCAATGAGATGAGCTAATTTTGCAAGACATAAGTGCAAAAAAGACATAATAGTTCAGACATTTGTTAGGCCAAATTCAGCAGGCCATGCATACCTCCATGAAATTATGAAACTGGGTGAACATCTTGAACATGAGCTTTAATAACGATATATTCCCCCTGAAACACAAAACATTGTATAGATAAAAATTAAAAAATGCTGAAGCACAAAGATGAATGTACATCGAAAAGAATATCCATACAGAAAGCTCACCATGATTGATCAAAGTGAACATGTGGATAACGGACAACAACAGGTTGAACAGGGTAGCCAGGTATGAATGCACCATGTTGGAACGAAATCAGGAATCTCCCATTTGTTGTGGTGCCTTCAGGGAATAATAGGACCCGCGGGAAGCTATTGCAAGCTGCCTTTCTCTGAAAGGACATCCTAGAGAGTATGTACCATACGAAGAAATAACTAAAAGGCAATCATGTTATTCTAGGATAATTTGGTTGGTGTTGATTTTAGAATCAACGGTCTGCTGCAAATGAAATTAAAAGATCTGTAAAGCAGGCAACCCCAACTTGTTTGGGACTTAAAGGCTTTGTTGTTGTTGTTGTTGTAAAGCAGGCAACTGCAAGGAGTAACTTGTAGTTGTCCCTTTCTGCATGTTACTTTTTCCATGTAAGTCAATGTAGAGCAACCAAATTCAATAACTTACAGGTTACATAAAGCAATGGGGTGCTAACATGTGACAAAATACAATACAATGCTTTTAAAGCCAACCAAGCCATCGCAATATCTAATTAATAAAAGGATGAGAATCTATGGGTATGACAGGAGCCGTTCTTACCTTTATTTCATTTACAGCAGCCTTCCGAGAAGCTGGTGAGAATCTATCAACATATATAACCTGGAAAAGGCTGTCTTAGAAGAAACTTGGAAATGTAGACGCTATCATAGGAAAATAGAACCGAGAAGCTGGTGAGAATCTATCAACATATATAACCTGGAAAAGGCTGTCTTAGAAGAAACTTGGAAATGTAGACGCTATCATAGGAAAATAGAAATATACATACCTGCATCGCTCGAATAATTGTTCCAACAAATGGTAGGGCATCATGAGACTCAGAACAAACAATGGTTGGGAACAATTCATAGAAGAAGAATATGGGTTCTATGTACGAGATATGATTGGAAACAACAATAGGTGCGAGTTCCCTAGGAGCAGGCCTTCCTTTCTTTCTGATCCAGTGGTACCTGATAAGAAGAAAGTGAGTGCCCGACTAAGATCAGACAGTGTACACTAGCATCACAAGAAGAGAGACTCTGAGAAAGAGTACGCATCCAAATACTCAGATCAACTCAGCGTAAACTAGCAGCAAAAGAAGCAGCGCACAAAGAAATTCCATGGCCAGAAGAAAACTAAATTTTGAAGGTAAATACATGTAGCAAAAGAAGATAACACTCATTGTCCATGCTCTAAAGTTTTGAATCAAATGCTTGTTATTCCTGTGCGATTCTGAAAGCCTAAGACACAAACAACACCATAGCCACGTTTGTTTTTTCCTTTGCTATATTTTCAGTATAGAGAAATTGCCCACCATTCGGGTTATTGAAATCATTGCAATCGATGGAAGACCACAGGAGAAATTCCCATTTGTAAGATGGTACACCCCACAGTTCATTTCAGCATGCACATGCACATGGCATCTCAGTTTGAACTGTGCACACGTTTTCGCTCTTCAGTTCCAGACGTAACCTAGCTGAAGGCATGTACGATACGAATGGTCCAACAGCGGTTTCTAACTCGTTCGTTTCCTATTGGTCTCTTCAAAGCTGCAATTCATGAAGGTCAGCTTCAACACGCCATAAACACATCTGCGGCACGGACATTCAGCTTCCGCTACAGCATCGTCCCACCAACCACATCATTGAGGGGCTCCCAACAAAACCGCACGTGTTGCGAATCAGCAACCCTCCAAATCCAGCAAACGAACCCGCATCGCACAATCGCGTCATCGACACACACAGGAATAGAAAGCCCCATCTCGCCACACAAATCTAATCATCTATTATTTTTCAGAAAAAAGGACAGGTTACCGGAAATTAAAGCGATTATTAGGTTTCAAATTAGATCAAAAAATCAAAACGAGACCGAGCTTACGATCCAGACCCAATCCAAGCATGTAACCGCGTCTGGCGATCCAGCAACCGGGCAACTCACCCGAATGAGAAGAGGATGCAGCGGGCGGAGATCCGCGTGATCCACATGAGCCGGCGGCGCCACGCCGGCATAGGCCCGCCGCCCTCCCGCGGCTTGCCGTGCGTGTCCGCCCAGCCGCGGAGAGCCACCCACGTGGCCGCGTACCCGATCGCGATGGCAAGCCCGAACAGCGCCAGCCGCACCGCGGCCACCGGCAGGAGCAGCAGCGTCCTCGCCCACGCGTACGCGCCGCCGCCCCACGCCGGCGTGCCGTTGCGGAACGGGTCGGACGGGGACGGCCCGCGGTCCCGCGGCGGCCGGTCCTCCGAGAGGAACGCGAACGGGT